AACCCCGGAACCTCAACGCCCGACCACATGGCGGCAGGTGTCACTGGAGAACTCCTTCAACGCAGCAGGCGTGGTGAACCCAGGGAACCCAATTCCCCTAGACCCCTGTCAAATCGCCGGGTTCTATTTGGAAACCCAAGTCTTTTCTTGCCTCCCGATTGCTCGGACCTTGGAAGCCGATGCCGAGTGGTAACTGGCATTTGTAACCTGGGCAATTGCTTAAGTAAAGTAACCGATATGTATTTGCTCATTTCCCCGAAGAGAGCCAAAATGGATTGGTAGTTGTTCATTTTGCACACCTTGCTTCACAAGTCTGTTTTGCAAATTGCAGATTTGCCCCTAACAGGAACCCCACATAGGCCGGGCAGTACTTGTTCCTTGCCTGTTACGTGTGCGCATTTATTTTCTGTATATATATATATATATCTATGCACATAGATACATCAATAGCCCCCCCTCCAACCACCCAGGTTTGCAGGTGCGAGCTGCTTTTTGTTTCAGTGTTTTATGTGTATGTGTTGGACCCTTAACACGAGCCTGAAGTCGCTGGCCAGGACCCCCGGCCTTGGCCCCCGAGGCGTTCCGCTGGGAGGGGTCGGTCCTGGAAGATAGCGGTGGGGTCGCGTGCCGAGCCCCAAAGTCGCGACAAAAATGCGAGGGGTCGACATGTCTGGTGGATCTTTCAATCCCCAGAAGTGGCAACGCGAGAGTTTCTTTGCGGGATCGCAATCGGTGCCCTTTGAGCTTCCTTTAAGCAACTGCTGTGGAGGATTAGTTTTTGAAGGGGCGCCGGTTTAGTGGAAGGGCCAGTGGAAGGGTCAGGCCGCTTGCTGGGTGGGAGCAGGTCGACTCACGCTATCTTGGTGACACCCTTTCTGAAGCTTTCTGGGGTCTGCAAAGGGTCAACCCCAGAACAAAATAGCGTGTTCTTTCTGAATTTCAATGGGAATCCGGGATTAATCACCGGTTGGGAGTCGGTTGGGAGCCTGTTGGGTACCGGAGCCTCGGAGGTGAGATGGAGGCACCACCACCTTTGTATCTGAGGTTGATTGGCATTGGGGTCACGAGGTCCCATAGATCAACGGTCCTACCATGTCCCACTTACCAAGACGGCTACAGGAAGTATCAGGAATTCTGGTGGAACTGGACAACTTTGGGTATTTCTTTCGGATGACCTCGTGTGACACATGGGGGGGCTTTAGACAATGAAAGAGTAAGATCCCATTAGCGGAAGCACAGCCATGGCCCGTGCTCATGGACAGTTATGCATGCTTTCGGCGGCGTCTCCCATTCGGGTTGCCAAGGTTTCAACAGGAAGCCTGTATTGTGTGGCTTCCCATGCAGTTGAAGCCACGGGCTTTGACGTTTTTGCGGCCCGGGCTGTCCATCGTTAGTCCGGATGTGCTGGTTGCCATCACATTCCAAAGGTCCCGGTGTGCGCAGGGCTTTTGTGGGTTGCCTTGTGCAGTCATGGTTGTTGTTGGGAACCATTTGAATCATTTTTGCTTATTGTGGTTCAGTGGGAAATCCCCACTGAACTGCTATCAACATATTTGTTTGCTCCCCTTCTAACGTCAACCAAGCAGTGTTGAAGCTGTTGAGCCATTCTAGATGTTTGCATGTCCTGCCTTTCAGTCCCCAGGCCTTCCCCCCCGAACCCAACCCCAACACCCCACATCCCTTCCTCTGCCATCGGGCCCCCTTGCATTCTGACACCTAGGACAAGCCAACCTACCCTAAACCCTAACCCTGACTCACCGTAAACCAACCCTAAACCAACCCAAACTCCCCCTAAACCCAACCGTAAACCCAGCCCGCCAACCAACCTCCAACCTGGTGCACTGGAGCGGTTTGCCAGCGGCGCTTTGTGGACCTCGCTCTCCGCAAAAGGGTCCAAGGGTGGCTGGGGAAACTAAAGACTTCAATGCTTGAGAGATACCTTGGCCACGTACATCCAAGATGGTGACAAAGGGTTCTCTTGAAACTGTCCTATTTTCACTCCTGGCAGTGGTTAAAGTCACCAAGCCGCAAAACAAAGGAGGCGGGCCCTGCATGGACCACATGGCCTCGTGCGCAGGTGCCAGCAACCATGCTGCGCCTCTTTGAGCACTTGCCCGTGGACCCCGCTAACGACCGCAGAAAGCTGAGCATCTTCGAGCACATCGAGTCGCAGGCGCGGAGCGTGTTCTGGTTCGGCGTGAGGCCGAGGAAAACCGCGAGCCAAATATCCACCCCCAAGATGTTTCTTTGAGAAAGAAGATGTAGGGGCTAAGCAACTACACAATATTCAAATTATGGCTCAAATGATTCACAAGTCCCACGCGCGCGAGTTGGGAATTGGTTTGCACCGGATCCCGAAAACACGCCTTAGCACTCGGCATTCATGAATCCAATGTTTGCATTACTTGGGACTTGTTAGGCTCTTGTAGAACATGTACTCCCGTTTTCTTTCAGCAATTCTAGGGATCCCCGGACCGTTGAACCATTGTTTGCTCTATCAGCATTGGACCCCCAGTTGCTGGAACGGCCAAGTCTCCCAGGATTTGCTTTCACCAGCACGTGCTTGTCTTCATAGTGTCGGGACTGTGCTCACTCCCTGAGTCGGGTTTCGCGTCACCTTTCGGGAAGACCAAAAGTTGGAAGGCAAGAAGGTTGGACGCCAACGCATGCAACCACGTCGCCACCACGTGAAGGCAAGATGCTGTGGTTTTGGGGTGGAACTCTTAGATCCCTTCCTCCGTTGAAGTTACGACCAAGCTTCTCAAGATCCTTGCTGGGTGCTCAAATTAGGGGATGTGGGAATGAACCCAGGGGTCCCCTTAAAGGAAACCACAAAACTTGGTGGCTCCCAGCCATCCCCTTAGCCTTTTAGCTTTTTAGTGTTTAGTGGTGGTTTCCATGTAACCCACTAAAAGTTAAACTGTTAGCGGGGGATCTGAGGGCAACCCAGAAAAGACTGGTTTATCCGGGTCGTTCCATGTCTCATTCCCTGCATCTCTCGAGCGCAGGCGCCCAGCGCGGCAGCTTGCAGCTTTCAAGGCGCAGATCAGCCGATCGGAACGGCCGAAGGCGGCTGACCCAAGCGCCTCAGAGGTCCTTGGAGGGCAGGTCCCTGGTTGTGTGAGCTGAAAAATATTGAAACATAATTGTTGGTTGTGCGAGCTGAAAATCACTTTTTTGTTTTGGCCCATCTGATAATGAGTTTCCTTTTGGCTGATGTTTTGTAGGTGACGCATAAAAGAACTCTGTACAGTGGCTCGGTGTCCCAAGGGCGGATGATACCTCCACTGAGGCTAAGCTGTGTTGGGGGACATTGAGTCCTACCCCGTTGCATCCTCTAAATCCCTTGTTGTTCAGGCTCTGCACCCAAAAAGGCCAGACTGGGGCATTAGGTTGACGTTGGTCCCAAGTCACCTGTTTTTGCGAGTCCCGCGTTGTGGGTGTGTTTGGGTTCAAAGTCTTGTTTTCGGGGGACCCTCCAAACTTCAAGCTCAGGTTTCCCGTAAGGCTTCAAAAAGGTGGTAGCCTCAAACAAAGACACGCCCTTCCCTTGTAACGCTCTTTGGGACATATCTATTCCCTGAGCTCCTGATTTGGATCACGCTGGCCCCAAATTGCCACGCACCAATTTTTGCCAATTCGCCGGGGGCTCTTAATGGGCCCCAGACCCTTCGGTGTGAAAGAAAGTAGGTGGTTCATGTCCACCAATCACTTTTGAGGTGATTCCAACCTCTTAAAGTTGATGGCCTCAAGGAGTATTCAATATAGGGAGCGTTGTTTTCCTTTGATTTCTCTGACCTGTTGACTTTTTGGTGTCCACCTTTGGCCCATGTTTGGTCAGGGCCCCAAAAGGTAGAAGTTATTGTCTGACCCCAAGAAGGCTCCCTTCAAAAAGCACCACCCCGTTTGTTCCGGAGGCTCGACACATCCGCTGCCAGCGCAGCATCCGCAGCTGCAGCAGTGGCCGCAGCTGGCCGTTGCCTTCGAGTCTCCGCAGCTTGGTGATGGAAACGGGTGCTGTGGATGGGCCCATGGGACGGAGGGAACTCACTCCGGAAGTTTCTGGACTTCAGTTCCGGTTTCGGTTTAGACCGTGGCAAATAAGGAGTTAGCCATTTTTTAGCCAACCCGCTCAGGAAGTGAGGGAAACGCATCATAAGGGTCACCCTCTTGCTTTTGAGTAATGATTGCTGATGAGTACAACCCCCCATCAGTGCTTGGAGCCCAAATTCCGGTCTTTTTTGGTCCTCTCCGGTCCTCTCCCTGTCTTGGCCTAGAGGACTTCAATAGGGCTGTCAACGGACACCGTGTTTATTTTTTTCCGGTGCTGGAGAGGGCCATGACGTATTAGGGTGTTTTTTAGTTATTATTATCCGCGGGGGGACTGTCCGGGTCCAGGGTACCCTTTGAGCTGGTCAAATCTTGAAATTTGTTCAACAAACTGGAGTAAGCCAAACATGCTCCGATCGCGGTTTTTTCATGGTAACCCGTGGGACTCTGAACGATAGTATTGGAATACGTATTCGCAGCTTTTATAGCTTAATCTCAGACTTGTGTTGTTCAAGTTTGGGGATTTGCTGGGCAGGGAAGGGGTGCATTTTTGTTTAGAAAATAAGTGATTGGTGTCTGATGTTCCAACCCTGCCTGAAGTGGACACTTGTCTTGGTGAGAGCATTCAGCGGGGAGGTGAGCATCAATCCGGGGATTCAGGTCCCAAGACGCACTCCCAGGTTTTTAAGTTGGCCTGTCGACTTGCTGACTCTCAGTCGTCGACAGGTTTCTTCCTCAAATGAAATCAGAATACCACCGCGGCTCTACAGTTTACCCTAGTCTAGTCTCGTTTGTTCAAAATCAATGTTTGTTTGTCTTCCTTTGCCAGGTGGTAATGGTTTCCCTTGTTGTACTTGTCGCAGTGGCGTCACGGATTACAGATTATCCTGCCTGCCCGACGTGGGGCCTGTAATTCGCGCGATCAATCGGTTGGAACCCAAAAGGGGATGTGTGTTTTTACTTTCCCGAATCATATCTGATGTAGAGGGGTTAGGAAGTGTTGTCCATCCATACCTGATTTTAGAGGGTCCCTTTACTATGTCCCCCAGTAGCGCCCTTTTGCCCCCTTTTTGGGGGAGGGTTCCCCTACTAAAATAGACTACAGAAAAAAGTTGGTACCCTTATTCTAAGCTCTCTACTGGAGGACCTGGCTTCTTCTCCCAGGTGTCCAGCAATTTCCCTGTCCCGTGGCAAAATCCGCCGAGGCAGATGAGCCAGCTCTTTGCGAACTTGCGCGTGGACCCGGCCCAGGCGCCTCGCCAATTCCTCGGGCTGGCTTCGGCTGGCAGCTTCAGCCCCCAATCTTGGCTCCCAGCCATCCAGTTCCTTAGCCAATTCGCCCTTTAGCGTTTAGTGGGGATTTGCATTGAACCCAAAAGTTAAACTTTTAGCGGGGGATCTGAGGACAGCCCAGCAATGGTTGACCCAAGTTAGAGGAACCTCCGGAGACGATAGTTCAATGTTCACCCCCCCAAATGCGGCTTTTTGGGCGACCGTGGGAATTTTCGACATGGAAGGCAAGTTGTTGGGGAGTGCTTGTATTTTAACCCCAGTTGTTTTGATGCATGGAATTTCAAGCATGAAATTGGGGGCAGGCGAACAACTAAAACTGTGCAGGCATGTAGTCCATTTAGCGAAGCAACAGCTAAGTTGCAGACTGATATTTCCATGCACCCAGCTTCAAGGGGCAGATGTGACCCGCCAAAAACCGATCGCAAGCCTAACCGCAAGAGAAACTGACCCAAAAGGTGCTCTTGCTCATTCGGGTAGCTATACGGGTAGCTATATAGGGAGTTGCCATCGGCTATGCCGTTGATGGAATCGGGGTGGGCAGATTTCGGCTGGAAGTCCAGTGGCAGATGGGACAAAAGGAGCCCGGGAAAACACCGACGCCTTAGCTCAGTAGATTCCAGGTCCACAAATGGAATGGACTCCAAGTTTGGACAAGCTTCCCCAAAGGGAGGCATGCCAGTGTGTAGGAAACTTTGAGACGTGTGAGCGTGTCTTTTTTTCAGGTATCCCTCATTTTGGTGGCTTTAAAGGAACACCATGAGGAAGACCACCATCTTGGGGGGGGTGGGGGGCTAAAAAATGACAGGCAATCGTCTGGCCTCAAATAGTTTTTTTTTGGCCACTACGTTTGGGCTGGCCCCCACTTCATGGGCTCATCGAATTTGTCCTTTTTCCCAAGCATCATTATGGACCTTTTGCGCCTTTCCTCCGAAACCGGAGAGGCCTGTTTGAAAGGCCAATCTTCTTCCAAAAGCTTCCATTTGCTTAAGGCTATGTGTGTGTGTGTTTCCTTGTTGGTTTTGAAGAAACTCTCCCACTACTGGAAGTATGACACGTTTCTCCCGCGGGGCTAAGAAAATGGACAGGTGCAGCACCACCTGGAGGCGGTGATGCCGCAGATGCCCATGTGGTATCCATATACGACGCCCTGACGGGGGCCGTGAAACCGTGGGTTTTTGTAGCCAACAGGTCGCCGTTTGAATGACCATTTTGTTAGCCCAGTCTATACTTGTTTGGCTTGGAGCGTTTTTAGTGGCCAACCAAAGCTTTGAACTTTTGTGGCAAGTCCACTCAGAAAGTAAGAATTCCCAAATAGGTGGGCGCATGGCTTATTGCGGACATGGCAGGAGGTGGGGTTGCTGGGCTCACCAGCTCTTGGACTTTGAGTGTTTGTTGGGACCATTTAGAACCAGATTCAGGACTTTCTTTGGTTTCGGGCCTTTGGGGCAGTTGGGGCAAGCGGGTTGAGCCGAGTTGGGCCGATTGAGGATCTTTTGCAGAATACCGCAGCCTCCCATGGCTTTGAACACGCCGAGTTGCCACGCTCTTTTGGGAAGTGTGAATGCAGCGTAAGTAGGTTGACTCAGGACAGGTTAACTCATGGCAGGTTGGCTCCTCGGGGGTTGACTCATGGGAGGTTGACAAATTCATGGGAGGTTGGCTGTAAGTATCATGGTAGGTTAAGTGTTTGTAGTTGAGTCGCGGTCAGTTGACTCATAGCGGGTTGACTCGATTGCGCGAAACTAATCGGCCAAACTCGGCAATCAATCACTCGCTTGTCACGTTTCCCGGTCGAGAGCACCGAGTCAAGGCGAGACTTTCCTTGTCGCGGGCGGTGCGGTAGGCCGCTTTCAGCTTTCCCCTGTCTGCTTTGAAAAGCGGCGGGGGGTAATTCGGGAATTAACTGCAGAGTTAGGATCAATGGGCAATATACTGCTCTCAGGGGATTTCGCCCGATGTGCATGACTAGATATGCGCGAAAGCGGTCGGCATTAACACCTTCTCCGTTGCTGGGGCATGTGTTTCTAAAAAGTTGGTCCGGATTCGTGCGATGCGCGGACGGCGGGGTGGGGATGGGGGCCCTTTGGGCACGTAAGGAAGCAGGTGGCTGTCGACCGGGGATTGCACATCCGAAGCCAAGGACATTGGGTCAGCCAAGGCGACATAAATGCTTCACATCCCAATTAACCCAAATTAAATTGGGAGCTAGAGCGCCCACTTACCCCAAACATCAAGGATCATTGCTCGGCCTATGAGCAGGGATTGAATCTCGTTCGTCCTTGATTGTTCAATTCTTCCAGCTATCACTGTCAAACCTATAGACACTTCTAGGTACCTAATGGCTGGAACGTGGATTTCTGGGGCACTATCTGGGATTTCTTCAGGTGGACTGCTAGTGGTGGCTGGAACCAAAACAAAATCAATAGTTAGACTTCACTTATTACCACCCCCCTCCCCCAACTACTGCTTCGTGGACAGCACTTGGGATTTTGGACATGAGGGAAAAGCCGGCGTGCTTTCGAAGCAGTTACCCAGTTGGTCAACAGGCCGGTCGCCGCGCCGAGATCACGGCCAACAAGGGCAGTTGCCTTTTAATTCCTGTGATGTTTTTTAGCCCCCCCCCCCCCTGCGAATTCCCCACCGCGGAAAAAGTTTCAAAAGGGGGCCGATAGTAGACCTTGGGCGCTATTGGGCGCTATTCGGTTCTGTTGAGATTTGTATGGCAGGATTTGTCAGGGTCTGATATTTCCTCGAGGCAGGATTTTCTTCTGGAGCTTTGCTTGCTGGGAGCCGGGGCGGGGATGGTTTGAATTGGATGCCGAAGGGTTTGGCAGGAGCCTTGTCTGGGAGAACCACCTGAGCAGCGATCAAAAATGCTCAAAGCAATTTAAGTAAGGGAGCGCTGAAATCAATCAGCGCGGAAGGTTTTCCGCAGGCCGCGGAAGCTTGCGGAAGGGCCGGCGGAAGTTGACTACGAAATTTGCACAGCGGAAGGGCGCGGAAGGGGAACATTTTTGGAGCGTCAAAAGGTATCGAAATCAAATCTCTTGCTCCCCAGCACCCCGGCCACAAAACCAAACGATTTTCACTGGCCTGTTTTGGCCGTCACCCCGCAAGAAGCGGCATCGAGGAATCAAGACTCTTCATTTCAGTTCCCCTCCGAGGAAAGTCAGAGTACTTTACCAAGTCACCACGTGGGCTTCTTCTGCAATGGCCGGTTGGGCCGACATTTACTTGTCAGTTGAAGCGAAATGGTTTTTGCGCCCGGGGAGGTAAAACGATTTGTTCGGCCCGAACAAATCGTTTTAGTGCCCGGGGAGCTAAAACGATTTGTTCGGCCCGAACAAATCGTTTTAGTGCCCGGGCACTGAAACGATTTGTTCGGAAGGACGGCGGAAGGGTTCCGTGATTTGGATGCCTTGTGTGTGATGTGTTGTTCTCGCTAGCCGCGGTGTGTCGCGAGGCTTCACGTTTGCGGTTGCAAATCTATTAGGATTCGCGTTTCAGCGTCGTTATGAGTATGGGACCCATAAACCATTTGCTACAGCTGTCTGGGCTCCACTGAGCTCCCGGACCTCCCAGGATACGAGGCAACAGTTGGAGGTTCAAGCCGCGTGAATCAATATTGCTGCAGTGATCCTGTTGGCAACGCTTTTCACGAAAGCAACGGGTGGTGGATGACAAACTCAATATCTAGTTGTGTTGGCTTGGCAAGAAAGAGACGCAAGCCGCGGAAGGCGCGGAAGGGAAATGAGAGCGCGGAAGCAAACACCCGCAGCGCGGAAGCGCGCGGAAGCACGCGGAAGCGCCAAATGATATCATCGCAATTTGGCCTATTGATTTTGATCACCGCTCACCTGGTTTGGAAGCGTTTCGCATGGGAAAGCACAGGGGAAACCACATTTGTCATAAGTGGAATGCCTTCGTATTGTGATGGGACGCCGAAGGAACTCACCTCTTTGCAGGAGTTTTCTTTACTGGGAAGCCAAAGGGAGAACCTGAAACCACCGAATTTGATGCCCCGTTTGGCAATCCCATGAAGGCCCCTCACTAGGGAGCCGAGTTGGCAACATCCTGAGTTCCTGCTCACCCAGTTGCAGACCTCGGGCTGCAGCCGCCTTCCTCAGAAGTTGCATAAAAGCCATGAGCCGATGAGCCGTGCGGCGTCATTGCTGAGCATGTTGTTTTCCTTTAAACAAATTGCCCAATTTACACGAGAGACCTTCTTGCCAAGAGCAAAGGCGACCACCAAGTTTACCACGCCAGCCACCAAAGCTGATTTGCAAGATGTATGGAGTGGAGTATGGTATGCGGGCCAGCTTTCATGAGGACTCCTCATCCATTGGTGGTGTGACTTTGAATTGGAGCTAGTTTTTTGATTGCAAGGTTTCATGATGCTCTTGGCAAAGGCCGGGCTCCATATTTTTTCGTGATTTTGAGCAAGAACTATGGAACCAGCAAGTACATCTCCAGAGGCATTTTCCGAGGAGCTTCGCTCGGCGGCCGAGTTTTGGGAATGTATAAGCGGCTATAACGCGCCGCCCATGTCCGACAGCACGTTGGCCAGGTCCTCGGCCGGAAACACCCATTTTTGGAGGAAGTTGTTGCACCGGTTGTTGGTGGTACTTGTTTTTTGTTTGGGGGGGGGAGGTAGGTTGTTGTTCTCTCTCTCTCTATTTTTTGGGAGGGGGGGAAAGAACAAAAGCACCTACTAATTGGTGCGAAAGAAGCAAGAGGCTCATCCAGGGCGCATCGGCTGGATTGATAGAAGGGCTGTACGGGTCAGAGAGAGATCTGGGGTATCAGCAATGACCTAGCATTGGTTGTGCCCCAGGGGCAACGATCCTTTGCGACATGGCTTGCTCCACGGTTAGTTGTCAACATGTTGCGTGTCAAGGGCTTGACGAATCTTATTCAGGATTCTTTTCGCAGGATGCCGCTTTGCCAGGGTACTGTTGGGTTGCCCAAATCGCCTTCTGCCAGCTCACTCCAACATCACGCAAATATGGCTACGGAACCGGGTCGCTACATTACTTTTGGTGGTTGCGCTTGAGCGTTGAGCTGACGTCCAGACCGGACCAGTCGGAAAAAAGGCGAACCTTGCCAGCTAGGGAAGAAGGAACACAGATATTGTTTTTGAGACACCCACTTTCCACGGGAAATCTATTGTGGTCGTTCATTGAATCACGTGCCATGGGTTTTCGTTCGAGTTCAACACAGTTTGCCGTGGTCGCAACTTCAGAGTTGACTTTCTTATATTCGGTTGAGGAGGGGGTACAGATTGTTGGGCTATCATTAGTCCTGAAATCATGGATGCAAGTTGTCCCGACCTTTTGTAAAAGTTATCTTTGGTGGTTGTCCGGTTCATCTACAGAGGGTGAGGGTTGTGGCTGGCAGGATGTTTGCAAACTGGCCCCGCCTTAGTAGGGCTGCCAAAGATAAGGGCCAAGAATGGCGCCAGTTGTCCATTGATTTATCCAGTTTTCCACCTTTTGGCCAGTTGCCCAACCTGGTCTATCCTTGGTGCCCCACTCGAGACATATCTAGTGTTTGGTTGCCTTTGCGGACCTATCAGGCAGGTTGCCCGGGTTAGTCCACGTCCCGCTCAAACATTGCATCATGTTGTTTGACAAGGCAAGCCCTTGAAATGGCCATTGCCAAGATTTCTGGATTCTTGCGTTCCTGGACTTTAAACTGTTTAAATCCAACTTGGTCAACAGGAGGCTTGCGCTTGTTTGGGCCAATCCACCCAACCAGTTTCAGGATGCCGGTTGGGTTTCACTTTGTCCCGCCTTCGCGCCTTGAGGCGAAAGTGCTTTGGATCAACCTTGATCGGCGCACGGACCGGGCTGGAGTCTCAGCCTCGGGGTTTTAAAGCAACATGTGGCCCTGGGGGCGGGTGGCTATATGGGAGGCGCGGAAAAAGGGGGGGGGGGCCGGGCAGGGTTGGTTTCATTTGGTGTTCCCCCTGTTGGCCCTTTTTGCGCATATATTGGATGTCCACAAGTTTGAGAAACACCCATGGCAGGCATCGGATCATCTTTGGATTGTTGATGGTGCATGCCTGTGGCACAATCTTAATGGCTGTTTGTCTAGTTCCTCTCGTCAACAACCCATGATTGGTCAATGATTGGTTAATGGCGCTCGCCAGCACTTTTGGTCTCACCCCCTGTCTGTGGCACCCGGCTTTTCTGATGATCAGCAGCTTGTTTGGGAGTTGCTGCCTCTTTTGTTTTTTCTTTCGGACCCTTCCCATATTTCGGGATTGAGAAAGCCAGGTTGGCACACTTCATGGTCGCGTGTTTTTGTCTCAAGCACCCTTTTCACTTTGAAGGGAGACCAAAAAGAGCCATAGGTTGCGGCTTGCTGTTGCTTGCGTGGCCCGCTTTCTACGGGATTTATTGGTAGGGCGCCACACATGTTCACAGCCTGCTTCTGGCGCACAATCCTACAGGGGCTTCTTGGAAGGGGGGCTCATGACCCTCTGAGCCTCGGTCAAAAGGTGTCAAGATCGCTCGTTTCGTTTCAGGAGATTTGGGTTTGTTTGTCTTGGATTTCGCTTTGCCCTTTGAAACCCCCCAGCAAACCCCAACAAAAGCTTTGGAATCACGACCCCCGGTGCCGGAAATTAAAAAGCGAACACGGCGCTTCGCGGCGTTTCCGCTGCGTCCTTCCAGGCGGCGAACCACGAAGGATCGCTGGAGGATGCCGGCCTGGAGGCGGCATTGGCCCGATGGAAGCCGCTGGGTTTCGAAAGGGTTCGGCCCCCTTTGAAGTGTTCTGGGTGAATTCTAACGACCTCACACGGCTGAATTCACCCTACATGGCGTTTTTTTGTGTTTTTTTTGTGGGGAAAATAGCCCCCGAACCACCTTATTTCAGGTTGGTGAAATATTATACTTCACCCAGATTGTTGGCTCCGCATCAACCACCAGTAAGTGAGACGCCCTTACTGAAACAAAGGTGGGGGTGAATTCATGGAAAGTCAAGCGTGGTCCCAATACGGGTTGTGGATCAGGATCGGGCCAAGATTCCATTCCACAGTAGCCGAATGTTTGCCGCTTCACGACCGGAGACACCGCCGGAGTACTGCAGGACCCCAAAGGCAAAGTTGCATTGGTTTGTTGGATGAGGATGGTACTCTTTTCCTAATCCAAAGGCCTACCTCCTTTCCCAGTGGCTCCATTCGCCACCCAGAAAAGGGATCTGGACATGTCTGACAATCCTGGGACTCCATTGGGTTGCTTTCAGGTGAAAGACTAAGACAGGAATGCCTGCCAGCCCGCCCAAACAGACGCGCATCGTGTCCTCTCTGTTTTTCCGCAACCTCGCCCGGACGCTAAATTCCGCCCAAAGGGGTCCAAGTAAAGTACATGTTCAGGTACTTGGACCCTTACACGCACTCGAACACGGAACCTGGCAGGAGGGTTTTGAAGGACTAGGTTTTTTAGGAGAAGACCCCCGTCTACTTCCATCGTTGGAAAAAGGGCATCCGTTCCTTGGTTTCCCCCCAAAAGGCCAACATGTCTACCAGAACCAAAGGGCATCAACTGGATGTTCAAATCTTGTGGTCTTTAGCCGGTAGGACCTTAGGAACCCCAAAAAGAACAACAACTTGTTAACATTTCCGGAGGAAACCATCAACCCTCCCCCTCCCAAAAGGGGCACCCCCTGTTTGTGTGTGTATTTCCATGGCTTTGTCTTAGCACCCGTGCCCGTTTTCGGTTGCTCCTTTCGTCCCCGGGCCCCCCTCGCGTCTCCGAACCGAAGGACTTCGGGGAGCGGTTCTCGGCGGTGGAGGGCCGCGACGTGGACTTCGACACGGTGCCCTTGCCCCTTGGCCGCGTAGGCGAAAACCCGCGGGCGGGCGGCTCCTCGGTGTGTGAGAGAGGGCCCCCCGCCTTTTGGTGTTTTTTCTTCTTTTCTTTTTTTTGGGGGGATTTTGACCGGGTAAAGGGACACCAAAAGGAAAGACGATGCCATGTTCGGGCTGGCATTTGGAAAGCAAAGGGAAAACCACCATTTTGGGGGAGGGTCTGCTAGAAAAAGACCCATATTGTCTCACAAGTAAGTTGCCTACCGAAAGGGTGATGGTCAAAGCCCCACGAAATGGGGAATGTAGGGAACCCTGTAATTTTGGACTGTTGGACCCTCTTTAATATGGGTCTGGGCTGGACTGGGCATTGCCAATGCTCGATTTAGCATTGCCAATTCTAAAATTGAGAGGTTCCAAATTTACCCATGGCAGCGTCTCTGATTTCCTCGTGCTTATTTAGTACTCCCATTCCAATTTGTATTGCCAGAGCTTAAGTTCAGGTTCCCAGATCTCATATGAACCACGCTAAGCAGAAGAAGGCCAAGACGTTAATTTCAACCAGCTTGCCATTCAAGAGGACGAAACGGTCAGATTAAAGCGCCCCTGACCACAGGATTTCCCGGATCTAGGGCCTTTAAGGCAAATACAAGCCACCCCTTAAACGGCTTTGGCATTTGTTTGTTGGTTTTGCCCGGGTTTTCTTTGGGGGCTAGAGTTTTGAATTGGGGCCTAGGGTTTTGAATTAGGAACGCATATTTCTACACTAGCGACCCCCAACTAGATTAAGCGCTGTCGCACATTCCGAGCTTCGACGCGCAGTGGGTGTAAATCTTTTGCTCGACTGTCCGGACGAAACAAATGGCGGCGCTTCTCCTCATGGCTAGGAGTCGGGGCCTTCCTTTCAACGTGCTCAATGCCACGTCAAGCCAACGGGGTGTCGGCGTCACTTCGAAGGTCCATCCTCACCGCGGAGGGACGAAGACAGGCGATCGAGTTGGTGCGACCGTTTTGGGGTGCCCGAGTTTTTGTCTTGCCAGTTCTAGATACGCTCCCTCAGACCAACATCTATTCCCATTTGGGTTGGCTTCCATGTTGGCCTGGGGGAGGGTAGCATGGTGGTTGCCCTTTGGTTGAAGCTGTGTTGTCGCTGTTTTGTGTCTGTGTGCGCGTGTTGTTTTAATGAGGCTCGGAACCCTGTCTGTTCTGACGGAACTCAAGAAGAAATCATTATTTGCTTGGGTCCCCTATTTTGACGCATACCCTTTTGTTGAAACCAAGCCCTGGTCGACTTGAAAGGAAAACCTAGTCCGCAGGCAGGGTTGGTTGCAATCGTCGAACTCACCGGTTCGGTGGCAAAAACCGGCTCACTATGATGCGGGTACCTCACCTCGTGAACTCTTCTTTCAGGTTTTGGGCATGTTGTAAAATGGGTGTGGGAGAAGCCAACACGGAGCCCCGGAAAAGCGAGGACTTAAAGCCTGCGGGCTTCTGGTGGTTTGTTTAATTTCGACCCCTACCCAAGTTTGCGGATGTCTGTGTTTCAGCAACCTCCCCTGGTTCCCCCATTTGAAACGACAAGGATGTTTCAACAGTGGAATCGCGCCGTGGAGAGCTGAATGTGACTGAAGGCTTTCAAGGTGGGATTTCCAGGAGTCAGGTTGGCCGATCTGTGGTGCGACCTTTTACTAAGCCCCTTTCTCATTAAACCTAACGGTTTATATTTCAGGGATTTTGTGAGGCCCCCCATGCTTGAAAATAGACCACCTTTGGGGGCCCCTCCCCGTGCGATGCTTATGTAGGGAACCCTGCCTTTTGGAAACCGAGTTTACGATGAGCGCGCAGGAATAGTTTGGTTGCCCAGAGGCTTGATAGGAACCATTCTCAAAAATGCCTGGTGGGGGTACATCCCGGTGTAAGTGGTTTGTTTGTGTCCGTCAAGATCCACACCCACATTGGTTTGAGTCCCAGTTGCTCAAGTAGAAGAACCCAACCTAACGGGCTCCTTTGCGGGTTTTTGCGCATCAGCCAAAGAGGCTCCAAGTCTTTTCTTTTTTGTTTTAACCAACCACCTGGAGGGGAGTTCTTGTTTTGAGGAACACCCATTTTGCCAGCTGGTTGAATCCGTTGGGTTCGGGTCAGGCATCTGACCCTCCCACCTTTGTCTTGGGCCGCGTGTTGCCGGGGAGCCCGGATAGGGGCGGGGGGGCTCCCTAGCGCCCAGGGCCCAAATCTCAATCCACCCGCAGTGAGACGAGAGGATATGTCTGTGTGTACGTGTACGTGAACGTGTGCGTGTGTGTCTCTGTGCGTGTCTCCATGTGTGTGTGTGTGTCTCTGTGTCTCTGTGTCTCTGTGTCTCTGTGTCTCTGTGTCTCTGTGTCTCTGTGTCTCTGTGTCTCTGTGTGTGCGTGTGTTCGTGTGTTCGTGTGTTCGTGTGTGTGTGTGTGGGTGTGTGGGTGTGTGCGTGTGCGTGTGCGTGTGCGTGTGCGTGTGCGTGTGCGTGTGCGTGCGCGTGCGCGTGCGCGTGCGTGTGCGCGTGCGCGTGCGCGTGCGCGTGCGCGTGCGTGCGTGCGTGCGTGCGTGCGTGCGTGCGTGCGTGCGTGCGTGCGTGCGTGCGTGCGTGCGTGCGTGCGTGCGTGCGTGCGTGCGTGCGTGCGTGCGTGCGCGTGCGTGCGTGCGTGCGTGCGTGCGTGCGTGCGTGCGTGCGTGCGCGTGCGTGCGTGCGTGCGTGCGTGCGTGCGTGCGTGCGTGCGTGCGTGCGTGTGGGTGGGTGGTGTGGTGTGTGTGTGTGTCTGTGCTGTGTCTGTGTCTGTGTCTGTGTCTGTGTGTCTGTGTCTGTGTCTGTGTCTGTGTCTGTGTCTGTGTCTGTGTCTGTGTCTGTGTCTGTGTCTGTGTCTGTGTCTGTGTCTGTGTCTGTGTCTGTGTCTGTGTCTGTGTCTGTGTCTGTGTCTGTGTCTGTGTCTGTGTCTGTGTCTGTGTCTGTGTCTGTGTGTCTGTGTCTGTGTCTGTGTCTGTGTCTGTGTCTGTGTCTGTGTCTGTGTCTGTGTCTGTGTCTGTGTCTGTGTCTGTGTCTGTGTCTGTGTCTGTGTCTGTGTCTGTGTCTGTGTCTGTGTCTGTGTCTGTGTGTGTCTGTGTGTGTGTGCGTGCGTGTCGTGCGTGGTGTCGTGCGTGCGTGCGTGCGTGCGTGCGTGCGTGCGTGCGTGTGTGTGTGTGTGCGTGCGTGCGTGCGTGCGTGCGTGTGTGCGTGCGTGCGTGCGTGCGTGCGTGCGTGCGTGCGTGCGTGCGTTGCGTGCGTGCGTGCGTGCGTGCGTGCGTGCGTGCGTGCGTGCGTGCGTGCGTGCGTGCGTGCGTGTGTGCGTGTGTGGTGTGTGCGCGTGTGCGTGTGTGCGTGTGTGCGTGTGTGCGTGTGTGCGCGTGTGTGCGTGTGTGCGTGTGTGCGCGTGTGTGCGCGTGTGTGCGTGTGTGCGTGTGTGCGCGTGTGTGCGTGTGTGCGTGTGTGCGTGTGTGCGTGTGTGTGCGTGTGTGCGTGTGTGCGTGTGTGCGTGTGTGTGCGTGTGTGCGTGTGTGCGTGTGCGTGTGCGTGTGTTCTGTTTTTTGTTTTTCTCCGCCGGGGCGGGGGGAAGGGGGAAGGTGGTTTCCTTTTTTCTCCTTGATGAGCACAGAAGGGTAACCCTCAAGCAAAAGACACAGGCACCACTGGAACAAGGACCCTCGTGACCCGAAGGGTGACAGGTGTGTTGCTATAGCTCGTATGTTTGAGGGTAGGCTTTAGATCTGTTTAATTGGAAGGCAAAAGAGAGCCAAACATTTGCTGCCTTATTTTGAAACATGGGCGGTTTTCCTTTGGTGGAGGGCCGGTCCAATTTAGCAATGTACCTTAGGGGCACCCTTTGATTAGCATCGTCATCATCCGAAGCGAATGCTTCTTCCAAACTGCTCCCGGCTTTTTTGCAGACGGGGGAGTTGTTGTTTTTTGCAGGTTGGGCAAAGGCCGCCGTTACGTGCTTCTTCTGGCAGAACCTTGCTCCAGGTGTTTGGACTTGAACTTGACCAGTCATCTAGGAATTGGGCTGTGAGGGGTTGTTCTTCAGTAGAATGGTTCTCATTTTGCTGGGAGCTACCACCAAGATGCACACGAGGAAGTTGACGGCGCAAGTTGCGCTGCAGGGTTGCCAAGCAAACTTAAGACGTTGCTCACAGGCGGGCAATCACGGCAGCCCGACGCACCAACGCGTCATAGCTGAAATGGCCACTGGCGAAACATGGGAGCCTGTCAGGCAAACTTGAGCCTGGCAAGCAGACTTTTTGCAGGCGAACTGACGCTTCAAGAATCTGCATGTTGAGCTAGTGGGTGCCATTACGCTTGCTTGGAGGACTTCCTTGGCCGTATCCAGCACATCCCGCAGCTACACTGTGCAAATTGCAGCAGCTTCATTCATACCCTGGTATCCTCTGGCAACTCAAACATGTGCCTCTTTGGTGCTGATAAAATTGGTTTGAGGTGTGGATGCTTGAAAAGGGGAGATGCGGAGTTACAGGCCAGTTGCCGAGTAGAAGGGGCACTCTATCTTTGACACCTTGTGCGGTGTCATTCCTTCATCAATTGAACGCGAAAGTTGCCAACCACTGTTCCACAACCAGCGACGCCAGCAGTTTCCAACTCGGCAAGCCCTGAACGGGTTTTAATAAACGAGCTCCAGCTTGCACTCAATTTGCGTAGCATCCAACCCCTTTGTTACCCATTGAACAGGTCAACCAAGCCCCTTTGAAAGATGTGAAAGGAGTCCGACACCTTTCAGAACGGAGGGCAACCATTTCTGAGGCCCGCCTGTTCGGACCACCCCCCCCTGTCAGGACACCTGGTGTCCGAACCCAAGATCGGTGAGCCACAAGCGCGGAGTGCCATTCCCGAGCCCCGAGTCGGTTTTGTTGCTTAAAATGGTTGCTGCGTGCATGGTGGCCTGCTTGTTCCGTTGAGTAGTTGGTTCCGTTGAGTGGCCGGCTTCGGGTTTGCTTGTTGTTGGTTTTTTTTCTTGCTTGTTGTTGTGTCTTTATTCTTCTTCTTTTTTTGGTCTTGCTTGCTTGCTTGCTTGCTTGCTTGCTTGCTTGCTTGCTTGCTTGCTTGCTTGCTTGCTTGCTTGCTTGCTTGCTTGCTTGCTTGCTTGCTTGCTTGCTTGCTTGCTTGGTTTTTGTTGGTACTTTGTTTGTCTGTCGGTTTGTCTGTCTGGCTCTTTCAAGAGAAGTGGGGGGGATGGTTGAAAAACGGTTTGTAAGGAAGCCTGTTGAAAACTGCCGCCGATGCACAGTTCTTCCGCAGTCCTGCCGAACGACTTTCCGGAATCGGCGTGGTCAAGGGAGAAATGCGCCATACGCGCAGGCTCGGGTGGGTTCCTGCTTAATTTAGCCTTGGAGCTTTGTGGCCAAACCTTCTGATGACTGGCCCATGCCCCAGACCTCCAATGCTGCCCTTGTTCCTTTCTTTTGCAAGGGGTGTCCCTTTGCTTTCCGATTGTGTGATCAGCCATGGTTCATATCATCATCAGGGACGTCGCGTTAGTGACCGACCTGTGGTGTTTTGGCTCAAGTTTTGGATCCGGCGCGCCTCGGATGAGCGTCGCCGGGCCCTCACGTCGACCGCCTTCGTGTCGGAGGAGAAAGAGACTTCGGCCCGGGGTAGGTTGGTGGGGATCGCCCGTGCGGTTCATCGTCGATCTAGGTTGCGGGTATCCTTTTCTGGTTTGGTTTGTTTTCCTTTGGTTGTTGTTCTCTGGTGTGTGGGAAACCCTGATCTTTGGGACCGGGGATTGGTTTGCTTTTGGGGAACCTTTCTTTTGTGGCTTGTTTACCCCAACTTACCCATTGCCTGGGCACAGGCTCGTGCCCGAATCACAGGTTATCAGCCGTAGGACTTTCCTACGCGCTTGAGACCATCAACTACAAGCTCTATGTCGACCCCACGATCTCGAAGGAGCGTCGTGGATGAGGAGGCCATCCTAGGTGGCCTCCGCTCAGGTGAGGACCTACCGGACTATGACTACGAGGATTTCGAAGCAGGTTCGACAGGTCAGGACCGCAGGGGTGAAGATCCCGGTAGGGATACACCCAGGAGCCGTGGCAGGTACGCCGACGATGGAGACGATCGTATTTTCCGCCAGGCCACTGATGACGAGCAGACACGAAGGGTTTACTCCGGTAGGAGTGGCTCTGAATCAGGTCACAGGCGTGGACGTTTTGACTTCATCAGCATGGCGATGGACATGGCCCGCCCTCATTCGGATGACCCGGAGGCCATGCCGATTCGACCTCCGAGATCTCTTGTTCCAGGTGAGTCGCAGGTCTCGGATGAGTTTGAGAATAGGCCGCAGGGACCAGGGACTATGGTTCTGGCTCCGGGAGGTATCCCGGGCCGATCCATTGGTTCTCAAAATCCAGGTCAGTTTGATGAGCACGAGGAGCGGAAATTCACGGACTTCGGATACGATGATCTGTTGAAATCAACCGCAGGTTGGGGCAGTAGCTCAAAGCAGGGATCTGATGCCGGTAGGCCCAACCCTAATACTGCCAAATCTGAGTCTTATGATGGCGAGGGTTACAATTTTGCGGATGAGGAGGAGAGCCATTCGCGCCGAAATGCAGGCAGCCGTGCGACTGCAAGGACTAGTCCCGCCGCTGCCAAGTTTGAGGTCGATGATGATGACGAGTATGCCGCATTTGCGGATCGCCGTGATGAGGAGGAGGACCAACCACGACGAAATGCTAGGATCCGTGATGCTGCGAGGCCCAGGAGCCTCTCTCGTGGAGCCGCCAGGGACCTTCGCGTTGACAGGGATGCCCGAAGCGAGAGAGAGAGAGCCAGGGACAGTCGGGAAGTTCTTCGGGGATTGGAGGCCATCCATGACCGTGAGGGACCGGTAGGTCCCCCGGCGATTGGTGATACCCCGAATGTTCCCCCTTTTCCCAACATTACGTTTGGAGGTCCGTTAAATCAGAGAGACGTGAACTCGAACCGGGTTACTGGTTCGCCGAGAGTCACTGAGCGGGTTGCCGATGTCGTTGGGAGAGGTGCAAGAGATGGCCGGCTTGCCGATGCACTCGGAATCGAGGATCGTCCGTCGATCGCTAGCCCGTTAGGGCGAGATACCAGTGACCTTGAAACGCTAAGGTCCAGCAACGAGTTCACACCTCAATGGGGCTCGACCGCCAGGGAACGTAGTGCTTCTGCGAAGAGACCGTCACCCCTGGCCATTGAGACCGATAGGTCAAAGGCGAGGAGGGCTAGCCCCTCACCAATGGACTCAACTCCGCAGGATGAGGAGATGCCTGATCCTGCTGATGTTCACATCCACTCTACTCCCGAGTCTCGTGCGTCCCATGTTGATCCCCGTTCCGGCGATAGCCGTAGAAGGGGTTCTACCCCTAGCAGGCCATCTGGGGCTGGTGATAGTCCTGTGGATGACCCCAGAAGATATGCTAGAGCTAGTGGGGCTCCTGAGAGGATCGAGATATCGACTCCTCCAGCACTCAGGTCTCATTCTTCCGGTGATCAGGTGACGCTAGGGCAAAGGAGGTGTTCGATTTGCACATCCAGGAGATGCTCGAGAGAGGTGAGGTTTCTGGCTCAGTCGCGAAAGCGTTCCATATTTTTGCTGACCAGATCAGGTTACTGAACGGTCAAGTGAGTTCCATGAGAAGGGAATGGAGCGACGAGAATCAACAGACGAAGGACAAGGTCGATCGACTGGCAGCTGAGGTTGCGACTCAATCTGATGCCGGGAGGATGCGAATGATAGTTCAACGGTTCGCAAGGGAAGTTATTCCCGATAGCAAGGCCATTGTGAGGCAAGCCATCGATGAGCAAGCCGAGGTCGTGGAGCAGAGGATTAACCTACTGTCCCACGAGGTCCATGAATCTGTCAAGGACAATGAGGCATCGACTGATCGGCTTCGCCTGATGATTCAGGAGAATAGTGAGGCTGCCCGCAGAAGCCATGCTGCTTCTGAGGACGAGATCCTTAAGGATTTGGACAAGCTTGAGAAACGGATGTTCTCGGTAGAGAAAACCGTTGGGATGCGGACACCAGCAGGTGTATGGAACCCGAATCCTGTCGCGCATCCGTCCGATAGGGCCAGCGGCAGTGTAGTGGATGCAAATTTCAGGGAGTTAAACCTGAAGATCGAGAAAGCTCTCCTTGAACACGAGACATTTGCCAAGTGGGCCTCTGAATCTATTGAAGGGATCAAAGAAGAGCACACTCGTCTTGTTAATCGAGTGTCGAGACTGCAGAGTGGAAGGGGTTCTCAGGAGGTCGATAGACCATCAGAACATGATTCCCCGCAGGACTGGCATGAGGCTATTGACGAGATCAATCGGAAGATGCAGGATCTGGCTCGAGGAATTCAACGTCAACGTCGGGATCATGACGACATCATTTCGAGGTTTGAGACCGTGAAATCACATGTTGAACAGTATGAAGCGAGATCGGCAATTGTGAATCGGGTCGTTGATGGTATCCAAGGACAGATCCGTAATCTTCCTGCAAGCAGTGACCAAGTGCAGCCTGCCGTTAGGCGAGAACTCGGCTCGTTCCGGAGTACGCTTGAAGGCGTTATGCGGAGAGTCAGCGCTATCGATGGTAACGTGCGTAATCTTAGCGCAGCGAACAACAGAATCATGTCTCAGCTCTTTGAAATGGAGGGTCAATTTGACGAGGCCGCTGGCATCATTCAGGGTGTCCAGCAGATTAATGAGGCTCCTCAACAACCCAGAGAGAGACGGAATGTTGGTTACGATGCATTTGCGGGGCAGGGACATAGGATCAGGTCTCCGACGCCCACACCCGGGGAAGGTGACGGCCGGGGTACTGGCCGTCCGGTGAGACCAGGCGGAGGTGTTGGTTTGACTGACCAGGTTTTGCCGAATGTGCCTGATAGGGTCGATCCTTCTCGTGCAGACAGGCATCCAATATATCCCGTTAGGGAGGGGTCCGAAAGCAGAAGCCGGAGGGCTCGAGGATTGCCTGACAGGTCGCATTCACCGCCAGGGCGTGCGAGGGATGGCCCCCGCGCGCGCGCAAGGGGGGACATTTCTGTTTCTCCCGATAGGGATGTGGGTAGGAATAGGAGCCCGAGGCCTGCTGTCGTCCCCGATAGGGGATCTGAGGTCCGGAGTCGGCAATCAAGGGGGGAGAGGCCGATCCGCGATAGCGGGAGCATCTCTCCGAGTTTGGACAGGCCGGCCCGCGATAGCGGGAACGTCTCTCCGAATCCTGGTAGGGGTAATAGGGCCCATGCCGACGTCCAGAGTCCCGGTGATGACTGGAGGACTCCTGGGAGTAGAGCTAGTGCCGACGTCCAGAGTCCCGGCGATAGGTGGGGGACTCCTGGAGCTCCGTCTGATCGTGGACAGGCCTCTGCGCCGGCCGCGAGAAGAGCTCCCGGTACCGGTGGTCCAGGTGCGCCAAAGATTTGTGCCCTCGACAATCCCAACGACCGTAGGCACCCGGACGCTGAGTTCTCGTGTGTTACGTGCAATCGTGAGTTTTGTGGGCTTTGCCGGGGTGACGACGGAGACTGTTGCAATTGTCAGTTCTTAAAAATGAAGTGTTGGGCATGTCGCAAGAATGCCCAGGAGGTCTCAATATATTTCTGCACTGATTGTGGGAACCACGTTTGTGGGGATCACAGTTATTTTGGAAATGACGGCCTCGAGCGATGTGCGCGCTGCAATATTCGGCATGAGCGTGATATCGCTGGACCGCCTCCTCCTCCCCCTCCTGGGGGAGGAGGTGGGCAAGGCGGACCACCCGGTCAAGGTGGGAGCGGAAGCGGTGGTCACGGACATGCTCCATTTCCACCACCAGGTCC